AAGTTAACGCAAAAATGGTTGTAGCAGTACATTGACAAGTTGTTGTTAAGTGCCATGGAGTCCGTCCCAACTTATTGTTAGTTATCATGGAGTTGGTTCTGACTCATAGTAACACTGTACTGGGTTTCCAAGGAGCAGCTGATGGTGTTCTTCCTTTTTAGTTTTCTGATTCCAGATCTTTGCACATTTTGTTGTAATATTTGGCTTTATCTTGTCAAGCTGATCTTTGAAATTTTCTGTTCAGCTCTTGGACCTCATTTCTTCCACTTGCTTTAGCATCTTTACGCTAGACAGCAAGTTTCAGTGTCTCTTCTGACATCCATTTTGACCTTTTCCTTCTTTCTTGTCTTCTTAATCACTTTTTGCTTTCTTCATGTATGATGTTCTTGATGTCATCCCACAACTCTTCTGGTCTTCGGACTTTAGTGTTTAATGTATCAAATCTGTTCTTCAGATGATCGCTAAATTCAGGTGGGATATAATCAAGGTCATATTTTGGTTCTCGTGGACTTGTTTTCATTTTCTTCAGCTTCAGTTTGAATTTGCATATGCCATTTGAACTATTAGCTCGGTGGTTCAAGCTCACCAGTCGCTCCTTGGAAACCCTAGGCAGGGTTGCTATGGTTGGAACCGACTTGACGGCACTTCACAACAACAACAACAATTGATGGTCTGTTCCGCAGTCTGCCCCTGGCCTTGTTTTGACTGATGATATGGAGCTTTTCCATCTTCTCTTTCCACAAATGTAGTCAATTTGATTTCTATGTATTCTATCTGGTGAAGTCCATGTGTATAGTTGGCTCTTAATGCTGTCTAAAGAAGATATTTGAAATGAACAAATCATTGGTTTTTCAGAACTCTATCATGCATTCTCCAGCATCATTTCTATCACCAGGGCCATATTTTCCAACTACTGATCATTCCTCTTTGTTCCCAACCTTTGCATTCCAATCAGCAGTAATGAGCAATCCATCTTGATTGCATGTTTGATAGGTTTCAGATTGAAGAAGTTGATAGAATTCTTCTATTTCATCCTCACTGGCTTTAGTGCTTGGTGCATAAATTTGAATAATAGTGGTATTAACTGGGCTTCCCTGTAGGCGCATGGATATTATCCTATCACAGACAGCATTGTGCCTCATGACTGATCTGGATATGTTCTTTTTGACAATGAATGCAACACCATTTCTCTTCAATTTGTCATTCCTAACATAGTAAACCATGTGGTTGTCAGATTCAAAATGGCCAATACCAGTCCATTTCAGCTTACTAATGCCTAAGATATCAATGTTTATGCGTTCCATTTCATTTTTGACAACTTCCAATTTTCCCAGATTCATACTTTGTACATTCCATGTTCCGATTTTCAGTGGATGTTTACAGCTATTTCTCTTCATTTTGAGTTGTGCCCCATTAGCAAATGAAGGTCCCTCATGCTTTTCTCCCACAGGCTTTACTCCATTCACGTCATCACAGTCAACTCTACATTGAGGAGGCAGCTCTTCCCCAGTCGCATTTTGAGAGCCTTCCAACCTGAGGAGCTCATTTTCTGGCACTGTACGTGACAGTGTTTCTCTGTATTCATAAGGTTTTCAGTGACTAAATATTCAGAAGAAGTTTGTCAATCTTTCTTCCTAGTCTGTCTTTATCTGGAAGCTCATCTGAAACCTGTCCACCATGGTGACCCTGCTGGTATTTAAAATACAAGTGGCATAGGTTTCAGAATCACAGCAACTCACAAGCCACCACAGTATGACAAACTGACAGATGAATGGTGGCCGTTTGGTTTTAAGTGGAAACTGCCACTTTAAATTTCGAGGTGATCTGTGCGCATGGGGTCTATATGGGTCTAAACCGCCTCCACCACAAAAGATTTGGTTCCAAAAAATTATTTTGAGTCTCCTGAAACCCAGATTTCTAGGTTCCTAGAATTGGAGTAATTCTCAGAGGCCATCTGCCCTTAGGTGTCCCTTTTTTTTTTTTTTTTTAAGGTGTCCTTTTGAACCTTGAAGAAACTAGTTTCCTGGAGTCAACTTCAGGTCAAATCCTACTTTTAAGAAGTAACTTAGTGGAGGACATTTGGCCTTAGACTTTGGGATCTTTTGGAAAATTATCTATGTGCAGCCAATTTGGAGACTCCAGGAGCTGTTTAAAGGCTGTTTTAGGATGTATGGCATGCTTTTGGTGACTGTTTCCTGAACCCACCCCGTGTTTTGAAGTTTGTAACTATTTCACTATGTTGTTATTATGTGCCGTGGAGTCGGTTCCAACTCATAGTGACCCTGTACAGGGTTTCCAAGGCTGCAAATCTTTACGGAAGCAGAAAGCCTCATCTTTCTCCCGCGGAACAGCTGGTAGTTTCGAACTGCTGATTGTGAGGTTAGCAGCCCGATTTGTAACCACTAAGCTACCAGAGGTCCTTTCACTATACCTTCCCAATAACTTCAGGTGATACTGTCTGATTTGAATCATATCTGCTCACAGTAAATATTTTGTTACACTAATTTTTGGTGTTTCTCTATGCTATTTAGGTTTTTGACAGTGTTTTGAAATTATTGGTTACAAGTTTCTTGATTTGAGACAGCATTTTTGTCTATGATATTAGGGTAATATGCCATATTACAGACAAAAATGTTGCGTTAAAAATCACGAAACTTATAACCAATAATTTCAAAACACTGTCAAAAACCTAAATTGCTTAGAGAAACACCAAAAATTATGTACCTGCTGCCTGGAATCCTGGTGTAGCGCTGCAGGATAATGTACTAGACTGCAAGGTTGGTTTGAATCTCAAGGTCAGCGGTTCAAACTCACCAGCCACTGCTCAGAAACCCTATACAGGGTCGCTATGACAGCACTTAACCACAACAACATACCTACAGCATGGGAAAGCACAACATAAATGATCTCGGGTTTGTTCTGCCCGATCATCCACCTGTCTACTTTTGTGGAGATTCTGGAGGAGAATTGGAATTATAGGGAAATCTGAATGCTTATCAGGAAAGCTGCGGGCGGGATTGAACCTAGGAATGGTGTGAGACCAAGAATGGTGAGTGGCAGTGGAAGCAGGGCAGGAGAGGAAACTGGCAAGGTGGTAAGCGCCAAGCTCCAGGGCCGAAAGTCATTCACAGCCGAGATAGGAGCTAGCCGACCACTAGCGCCCAGACAGAAAGCCGTGGGAAAAGGAGACTCCACGGCGATGATTGGCTGCCTGAGCTCAGGACCGAAGATCCGGAGGGCGTCCCAGAGACGCGCACGAGCGGAAGGCCGAGGCTCGCACTTCCGGTCTTTGTGGCTCCCCGCTCTGGGTCAGTGGCCCGTTCCCTGTCAGCTCCAGGGCTTCGCAGTGAGGGATGCGGGCCCCCGAGGCGAGGGAGGACGGGAAGGGTGCGTAGACGGGGCGGTGGGCACAGGGTGAAAGAGCTTCACACCGAGGTCGCAGCTCTTGGTTGTGCCGTCTGCTCTGAGCGTTTGGGGACATTGAGGACACCGGCGCTCAATCCCTGCTTTCCAAAAGAAATAAATTATCCCCCAGCCCCATGAATTTGCAAACACGGTAGTTTAACCGGGGATATTAAAAATAGAAAGGTTCGTGTAGCCGAGCTGGTAAATTAGTCCCAGAGTTGTGGCATAAATATTCTAGGCAATCTAAAGTTAGCCATAACGTTAGGTCTAAATTTCTCATCTGCCCTGCTCATTTTAAGGGGTATTCTGCCCCAAAATCAGATCCTGTTTATGTGGACCACGACATACCTACGTAATTATTTGTTGCCGTGATCCTGATGTGGCTCCGTAGGCTAAACACTGGACCGCAGGGTGAGTGGTTCAAACTCACCAGCTGCTCCTCTGAAACCCTATACTGGGTCGCTGGCACTTAACAGCAACGTGAGCCACCTTAAACTTTTTACTTCCAGTATTGTCTATGTTCTGTGAGGGCTGAGATTGTACTTTTACTTCTTTTCAGTCTCTTCATGATACTAAACATGGTTTTGAACACATGGCAAGCATTTTACAAATACCTACTGGCTAATTCCTCCACAGACTCATTTATTCCATGGTCATTGTTTGTCTCCGTGCCTTACAAGGAGTACATGCTCAGTGTTGATTGAAAGAATTCAGTTAATCCCAAATTTGACCAAATAGCAAAAACTGAATGTTTTTATTTACATGGACTCATTTAATGAGATTTTTTGACGTCTTATTACTATCTTAAATATCAGCATCAAAATAAATGTTTAAAATCATTATTACTGATTTCTGACTAGATACTATTCCCCTTGGAAAGCTGGAGCCTGTGTCTATTAAAAATGGAGTTCAGTACCTTTACAGATTTATTAAAGCCATACAAAGGCTTCAGAAAGTTCATGGGAAATTTTCATGTATTTTAATTCCAGTTTCTATGAACTTTGTGAAAACCCCATTGTACTAGCAACCAAGATCATTCCTCTTGATGAAGTCAGGCTTGAAAAAGAATTGAAAAGAAAATAGTTTGCACTATGATTAATGATGCATCCTTTGACTTCTAAAGTCATCTCTTGTAACATTTTTGTTAGGTGCTATTGAGTTGGCTTCAGCTCATAGGGACCCTATGCACACAGAATAAAACACTGCCTGGTCCTGCGCCATCCCTCACAATTGTTATATATATGAACCCATTGTAAACTTGGTGTCCATCCATTTCACGGGAGGGGGTCTTCCTCTTTTTCACTAACCCACTACTTTGCCAAGCATGATGTCCTTTTCCACTTATACCACTAGTGGTAGGAATTCTACAAAATGAGACACTAAATGAATTGACTGATTTTTAGCTTGTAATTTGATTATTGTTTATTTCATTACATCTCAAGTCTGCTCCTTTGCAATAAATTCCTGAAGATTGTTATAAGTCAACAATGCTTTTCTATCCTTCAGGAAGGCCTTTGAAAGAAGAAATACTTAAGGAAATTCTGAAGCACCGAACCCCTTTGTAGTGAGCTTTTGCCAAGTTGTTGCAGCCTAGAATGGCTGTGGAATCCAGAGCATCGTCAACCCTCGTAACTCAGGATCCTCAGGAACAAGAACTACTGCTAGTGAAAGTAGAAGAGGGCCTTTCCTGGGGCCAGAAATCTAAACAGGATGGGAGTACCCAATCCTGCCAAGAAATGTTTCGCCAACAGTTCAGAAGGTTTTGCTACAAGGAGACACCTGGGCCTCGGGAGGCTTTGGGCCGGCTCCAGGTGCTTTGTTATCAGTGGCTGATGCCAGAGTTGCACACGAAGGAGCAGATCCTAGAACTGCTGGTGTTGGAACAGTTCCTGAGCATCCTGCCTGAGGAGCTGCAGATGTGGGTTCAACAACAGAGTCCCAAAAGTGGCGAGGAAGCTGTGACCCTGTTGGAGGATTTGGAAAGAGAGTTTGATGACCCAGGGCACCAGGTGGGAACAGGGTGATGTGCTGTGTCATGGCATAGGAATGATGTATCATCATAATAACAGGATGAAAATGTGTGCTGCTGTAACAAATACCGCAAGTGTGGGTAGCTTGAACAAAGACATTTATTCTCATACTTTAGGAGGTTTTGAATTCAGGGTGCCAGGTTAGCGGGCTCTAAAGAAAGATCCTTGTCTCTTCAATTTCTGCTTCCTGGTTCCTAGGAGATGCCCATGTGCCTTGACCTCTGTCTCACCCTACCTCAGCTTGCTAGCTTGTGTTTAATCTTTTTTTCTCTCTCTCCAAAGAGGTTGACACAAAATACATCCTACACATACCCTGTCTCATTAGCAAAGACAACCCATTCCTATATGGGATTTAATCACAGTCATAGAGGTTGGGATTTCCAGCATATTTTTGGAGGACACTGTTCAAATCATAAAGCTACTGAACTATAACCCTGAAGTGACTACTTAAAGTCTCTGTCTTTACATAGTTTGTTTTTTCCTGGAGATACTCTTGATGAACTCATCTCTGAAATGTTTACTCAGCAGTTTGCCCAGGATTCTTTTCACAGAGCTAACCATGTTTTATTGACTTCAGGTTCCAGCTAGTTCACAGGGTCCAGCAGTGCCATGGAAGAATTTGACATCTCTTGGAGCATCCCTAGAGTCAACAAATGTTCAACTCCCACTTTTAAAGACAAAGCTGCAATCCTCGGAACCTTACCTTTCCCCCAGAAGTGGTGAGGAATTAAAACTGATCTGGGCATTTATGTTATTTCTAGTTTTGAGGGTACAGGAGTAACTGGATATCATAATCTTGACACAGATAAGCACTACTGTTATTCTAGACCAGAAGTACTCCCTTTGCCAGCTTACTTTCTAGCAACCCTTTATGTGGAGCCAACCCTCCTTTTATCAGTTTACCTATCATTTGTTTAATAGAGAACTAATACATGTCAGTATTGTGTTAGTCACGGGATCACCATTTTCAAGGAGCTTTAAGGTCTGGTTGAGCAAAATGCAGTGCAGCAGAGTCTCATACATTATACACTAGAAGTAGGATTAGGAAGTGATGGCTCAGTGGTAGAATTCTCCCAGCAAGTGTAGCTCAAGTGTAGCCACCATCTGTCTGTCAGCAGAGGCTTGTGTGTTGCTATGATGCTGAAGAGGTGTCAGCAGAGCTTTCACACTAAGACAGACTAGAAATAAAAGCCTGGTGCTCTTCAAATATCAGCCACTAAACACCCTGTGGATCACAACATTCGGCTCCTGGTGTGCATGTGGTCACTGTGAGGTAACGACTGACTGACTTAATGGCAGTTATGACAGGAACTATGGGAGTACATAAGATAGCACCTAACCCAGTCTTAGAAGTTCAAGGACTATTTCCTGGAGGAAGAGCTATCTAAGCTAAGACCTGTAGTATGAGTAGAAGAAAGCAAGTTAAATAAGGAGAAAGAATATAACAGGCAATTTGGATTGCAGGTAGCCTAGCTTGCCTTGGATAGAGTATCAGTATGGATGGAATTTTGAGAAATCCCAAGGAAACGAGTTCAAATAGTAAAAACGTATGTACCCTGCTAATTCATTTGTACCATTTCCTGAGTAAAGGCTTTGGGACAAGGGAATGGCAAGGTTAAATTTATGTTTTAGAACTAGCTGTGCAATGGAGAGTGGATTTGAGGGTGGAAGGAGTAGAGTCTTGGAGTCCTATTAGGACCCACTGATATCAAGTCTATTCCAGGTCACCACAGTGAATAAATCAAAATGCATGATACCCTACCCCAGGATAATCACAGCTGATGCCTATTTATCACATTTGGTTTCTAAATTTTTATTATAGTCTAATTGTTAAAAGGAAAGGACTGTGACATTGATAACTCAGGTTTCAGTCTTGAGCGTTCTAATTAATGGTAATGCTAGTCACGTAAATGGAATCCCTCTATGGTACAAATGGTTAAGCAAAAGGCCACTTGCCGAGAGGCACTTTGGAAGACAGGCATGGCTGGTGATACCCTTCCCAAAAACACTATGGAGCACAGTTCTGTAAGTCAGAATCAACTGCACAGCAACTAACAGCACCCACAATTCATGTAACTAGGAAAGCAAGGGGGGGTGGAAATCTGCTTATTATTTAGTTTGGGATATTTGGGGACATTTGCCCAGTTAGCAGTTAAATATGAGAGTCTAAAACCCAATAGAGAGAGCTGGGGTAGAGTTGGTGACCTGGGGAGATATGAGGCTACGAGTGATAAGCTTAGAAAGAAGTTTGTAGAATGGATTACAGAGAGCCCAGATACAAACATAAGGAACTCTAATGATTGAGTGAGTAGACATGAAGACTAAGGAGAAACAGCCACAGAAATCAAGCTAATATTGCTGAAAGAAAATGTCTCTAGAAAGAAGGTGATGTTCCCCCATGATAAATGCTACAGAGGGCTGAAATAAATAAGATCGGGAAAATACCCATTGGTGTTAGCAGCTATGAAGCTGGTGACCCTGATGAGAGTAGTATCAAGGGATGAAAAGTGAAGTAGGTGGAAAGCAGATTGAAGACTGGGGATGAGTACTGACAACCCCTTGAAAAAGCTTTCCTATGAAGGGTGGTGGTTCTGTGCCATGGAGTCGATTCTGACTTAGCGACCCTGCATAGGGTTTCTGAGGCTGTAAACCTTTATGGGAGCAGAAAGCCTCATCTTTCTTCCATGGAACAGCTGGTAGTTTTGAACTGCTAACCAGGAGATTAGCCACCTGCCTCGTAACCACTATGCTACCAGAGATCCTTTTACTATGAATAGGAATGAGTAAAGTTATTTGAAGGAGAGGCATGGACAAAAGAAGCTTTAAATGCTGATAAACAGGAATCTGAGAAGCATTAAAATAATAGGAAACAAGCAGTTGGAAATGGATTACTTGAGCTCTCAAGGGCAGGAAAGTGTGAATTAAAAGCATAGCTGGGCCCTTAACATTAGAAAGAAGACAGACCTTAGTATAACCAGCCAAAGAAAAGGTGCACATGAAGAATGATATTCTCTCAAGGAGTGGATGAATATTTGAAGGTCACTGGAGAAATGTAAAATCTGGCTTTTGCTTTTTATCATTTCAGATTGTGAAAACAGTCACTTATCAACAAAGGAGGAAATTGTGGGAGAAAAATCACAGGGACCTCCCCTGGACCCTTCATTCAGAGAAGTCAGTGAACGTGAAAACTGTTTAGAGTGGCAGCAAGGAAGTGCTACAGAGGAGAAACTAAGGTCCTCTTCCCACGGAGACCGTTTCAGTCAAGTGATCGTCACACATGAATCTCTAGGAAAGAGAGAGCATCCTGATAGTCCTCAAAGAAACTTGATTCTAAGTACAAACTCTGTAACGTGTCAGAAAGTTCATACAGAAGAGAGACCTTATAAATGTGATGTATGTGGAAACAGCTTCAAGCAGCATTCCTCTCTGACTCAACATCAGAGGATCCATACTGGAGAAAAACCCTACCAGTGTAACCAGTGTGGAAAGGCCTTTAGCTTGAGGTCATACCTTATTATTCACCAGAGGATTCATAGTGGGGAGAAAGCATATGAATGCACTGAATGTGGGAAAGCCTTCAATCAGAGCTCAGCCCTTATTAGACATCGGAAAATCCATACTGGTGAGAAAGCTTGTAAATGTAATGAATGTGGCAAAGCATTCAGTCAAAGTTCATACCTGATTATACATCAAAGAATTCACACTGGTGAGAAACCCTATGAATGTAATGAGTGTGGGAAAACCTTTAGCCAAAGCTCAAAGCTTATTAGACATCAGCGAATTCATACAGGAGAGAGACCTTATGAATGTAATGAATGTGGAAAAGCTTTCAGGCAGAGCTCAGAGCTGATTACTCATCAACGAATACACAGTGGAGAGAAACCTTATGAATGTAATGAATGTGGAAAAGCCTTCAGTTTGAGCTCAAATCTCATCAGACATCAGCGAATTCATAGTGGAGAGGAACCTTATCAGTGTAATGAATGTGGCAAAGCCTTCAAAAGGAGCTCAGCCCTTACTCAGCATCAGAGAATCCACTCCGCGGATGAAGCATATATATGTAACGAATGCGGGAAAGCTTTCAGGCACCGATCAGTCCTTTTGCGCCATCAGAGAGTCCACACTGTATAGAGTAACTTGTGAATACACTAACCATTCATTGTTAACTGTTTCATTCTCATTCTTGTCTTTTGAGTCAAAAATGTTTACTCTGGAGCAAAGTTCCATAAAGGTTGTAAATTAGGTCTTCAATCAGTCTAATTTGCTATGTGTAGCACTTCCCATAGTTAATGAAAGTTGACCTTTGAAAAGCTTTTTCTGAGACTGATGAGAATGGCAGATGGGAAATTCATCACTTTCAGTTTTTCTATTAAAATTAAGAATACTCAAGACATAGGAATGTAGCATTGGAACCTCACTTTCCATGAGACCATCATGAAAAAGATACAGTGATCCAGACCGTCATTACATCTGCTTGGGGGGGGCGGGGTACAATGCTGATATGATGTTGGCAGGAAAAGTGACTTTTTGTCACTCTCAGGAACAGAAAGAATTTTTGTATCCCAGATAAGGGCAGTGACAGGGCAAGAGAGATGGAGGGGTAGGGTCTAATTATTTGTTGAGACCAGGACAGATCAGAAATTAAAGGTGAGAAGAAAGTACAAATTAGTTTCATGTGTGTACCAGGAAACATACTCCACAATTAGAGAAAAGGCAGGGAAGCAGACAAGGATACTACAGTGTGATCAGTGCTGTGATCTAAAGGAGAAACACCCAGCCAAACCTTGTACCAGGAAAGGCTTTTTGGAAATATTCCCTAAAGGGTGAACTGGAGTTAGCCAGTGTGGAAGACTGTCCCCAGCAAACCAAAGGAACAACAAAGTCTAAAAGGAAAAAGTGGTACATCTAGAAATAGGCCGATTTTTATGAAGTTCCTTTCGAAGTGAGATCACATCTAAGAGTGAGAATATTTTAAGTCATGCCGATATCAAAATGTAAGGAGCTCTGGTAGCGTAGTGGTTATGAGTTGGACTGCGAACCTCAAGGGTCAGCAGTTCAAAACTACCAGCGGTTCCGCGGGAAAAAGATGGGGCTTTCTGCTCCCGTAAAGATTTACAGCCTCAGAAACCCTATACAGGGTTGCTATGAGTCGGAACCAACTCCATGGCACATAACCACCACCACCATATCAAAATGTAATCCAATGGAGAAGTTTCTGTTAAATCCCAGAGCCCTTGGACCATGAGGTGGTGAAAAGCTTTGACTTGGTTTGGTGTGACCCCAGAGAAAGGACTAAGAGTTGCTTTCCTTGACAGATCTGTAGGTTAGGCTATAAATTACCAGGGAATGGGGATTAAGAAAGAGCCAGCCTAAAGATTTAAGAGTCTGTTAAAAAAAAATTTAAGTCTCTCCCAGACAAGGAGCCCTGGTGCAAAGTGGGTTAAGTGTTGGGCTTCTAACCCTTAAGTCAGTGGTTCAAACCCTCTAGCTTTTCTGAAGGAGAAAAATAAGGCTGTAAAGATTTACAGCCACAGGACCCCTAAGGAGCACTACTACTTTGTCCTATAGGATTACACTGAGATTTGACTCTATGGCAGTGGGTTTGCCAGACACTTTTTTTCCTAAGACCATATCAGAGCTGCCGTCACATTCCCCTAACTTCCAAAGCTTTGAATCAGAAGCTGCTATGGTTTCTATATCATATATTTCTAGGACTGTATCCATTGTTCCTATTAAACCCTTAGATTCAGGTGCTCAGTACAGGAGGGCTTCAAAAAGTTCATGGGAAATGTTCATTATCTTTAATTACATTTTTCCATACTTCAGAGCCCCATATACATTTTTTAGTTTCTCTTGGGGTATTTGAGTGAGATTCTTAAAGCACTGCACACATACTCAGTTTTGACGTAAAGTCCCCACTATTTCACAATGCCTTGTGAATTTTGTTAAAGACAGTGCTAAAGGGAAGTGAAAACAAAAAGTAATAGTCTTGTTTGATCCAGGCAGTCTCCTCTTCAGAGAAACCAGCAGAAAGGTGCTTCTTCAGTGCAAGGTAAAATTGTACAGGTTAGTTAGTCAGTAACTAAGACATGTCATTCAAAAGACAATAAGTTAGAGGAAAAACAAAGGTTTTACCAAAACAGACTTAATGGAAATCTCAACTCTAACTATAGAGAAAGTTGTCATCAAAATAAAAGCAAATAGAAATAATTCTCTTATTGAGGCTTATGAAGACATCTGTGAACTGAAGAATATGACAGAAGAGCAAAGTGTCCACATTGGAAAAGAGAATGAAAAAAAGAAAGGACACTGGCTTGGCAAACAAAGATGGTAACATGTAACCAAATAAGTGGCAGGAGCTGTTCAACTCATTTCCCACAGATCTGAAAAAGGTAGGACAGAAATTAAGTAGAAATAACTTTGTTGTTAAGTGCTGTGGAGTAATTTCCAACTCATAATGACCCAGGTCACAACAGAATGAAACACTGCTCAGTTGTCCTGTGTCAATCTCACTACTGCTATTTGAGTCCATTGTTGCATCCACTGTGTCAATCCATTTTATTGGGGATCTTCCTCTTTTCCGCTGACCCTCAACCCACTCATCATGCCAAGCATGATGTCCTCCGAATGACATGACCAAAGCACAAGGGAAAAAAGTCTTGCCATCCCTGCTTCTAAGGAGCATTCTGGTTGTACTTCCAACATGGATTTGTTTCTTCTGGCAGTCCATGGTATATTCAAAATTATTTGTCAGCACCAAAATTCAGAGGTATCAATCATACTTTACTCTTTATTCATTGTCCACCTTCCACATGCATATAAAACAAATGAATATACCATGGCTTGGGTCAGGCACATCTTAGTGACATCTTTGCTTTGTATCACTTGAAGGAGGTAGTTCACAGCAGATTTGCCTAGTGGAATATGTCACTTGATTTCTTTGCTGCTTCCATGAGCATTGATGTAGATGCAAGTAAAATGAAATCCTTGACAACTTCAATCTTCATTTATCATGATGTTGCTTATTAGGTTCAGTTGAGAGGTATTTTGTTTTATGTTAAGATGTAATACATACTGTAGGCTATAACCTTTGATCTTCATCAGTAATAGCTTAAAATCCTCGTAGCTTTGAGCAAACAAGATCATGTTACCTGCATATTGCAGATTCTCCCATTTTGATGCCTCAATCTCCATATAGTCCAGTTTCTCTGATTATTTACTCAGCATACAGATTGAATATATATGGTGAAAGGATACAACCCTGATGCACATCTTTGCTGATTTTAAGTGATGTAGAATCCCCTTGTTCTGTTCAAACAACTGCCTCTTGGTCTGTGTACAAATTCTACAGAGTTCCATAGGATTTAATTAAGCACAACTAAACTTGACAGACGAGTAGTGGAGTAAGAATAACAAAAGGGAAATATTCTTTATACAGAGAGTTCTGATATACATCAGTAACAAATGTAATTGGTACTTTCTAAGATTCTGATGTGGTGCTGTAGGATAAGCACTAGACTGCTTACCCTATACCAGGTTGTTGGCTGATTTCTCCGAGTAATGGTCCCATAGCTGGGACTCGGTGTTGGTTTCTGCAGCTGGCAGATGGGGCACTCAGCAGTGGCTGTAGCCAAGTCAGTCTTGGTGAGTAAAACTACAAGGCTGGCAATTAAACCCACCAGCTACTCCTTGGAAGTCACACAGGGTCCATACGACCTGTGGCACTTAACTGACTCAATGGCACTTAACAACAACAAAGGCTTTATATTAGTTATTTATCTCTTCAGCCCATACTCATATTTTTTTCAGATAAGGAAATGAAGGCTTGAAATCATAATCTACTAGAGGTCAGGTTTGGAAGCCGATCAGGAGACATTCAGAACCTTTCTGTGGAGCCACTTCCCTATCTGTCTCTCCATGAAAAAGTTCTGAGTAGGAAAAAAAACCTTTTAAATAGGAAAATCACAAAAGAATACATTATTGTCAATAGACAATAATGACCGACCTTATTATGATTAAAAATTACACTAAAGCCAGTTGAGATGGCACTTTCCTGTAAGTGGCAAAGATTTATGGGAACTGGAACTCTAATGCCTTACCTCCATTATGTCAATCCAATGTGCCCTTGGCAATTGGATCAATCACACCACGCAACACAGGAACTCCCTTCTTTGCCTGTTGATCAAGAGGCATGAGAAGTGAAAATGGCCAGTGGGCATTCTTAACTTCCAGTTTAATGGCATCAGTACTGTGTTTCCAAGTGAGAGTATTCCTTCTTTCAGAACTAAAATGCCCAGACATGAAGAACATACGGTCACAGACACAGGAAGCAAAAATTTTGCAAGTAGGTCACTAGGAGTAATAATGAGTGGTGCTCTCCCATTCCTACCCCTTGGTTCCTGGACCCATGAATCCCAACTATTGGAGAAACAGCACCAGATTCTGAATGCTGGTTTATATAACATATACAGCCTCAGAGAAAATTGTCCAAATTCTGCAAGATATTATCACCTAGCTGGTGTCATAATTGTGTTTTTAGAAGACCATTCCATTGTTCAATCAAGACATGCTTCAGTACAAATTGGCAAAGAGAAAGTAAAACTCTCCCTATTTGCAGACGATATGATCCTATATGTAGAAAACCCCAAAGACTCAGTAAAAAAGCTACTAGACCTCATTGGAAGATTCAGCAAAGTAGCAGGGTATAA